TTTGGGTTGCTGTGAGGAGGACAGCTAGCTCCGGCTCTGGAGCTGCGCCGGGGCTCTCAGCTTCCCTCTGTTACGTTAGGGAAACGCCAGCCAGCCCCCATTTCCCCTCGATCCCTGATGGCCTTTCAGCCTCCAGTTCAGCTCGTGCTACTGCATGAGGAATTCTGGTCCGCATTTCATAATTCCCACTGCTGGACCAGAGTGGTGGCCACATCCTCCCATCAGCCCGAGTGTCCCGCGGTGGGCAGCATCCTCCCACTCACCTCGCCTGCAGCACATCTTCCGGCAGTGCATCCTGCCAGCCTGGAAACTGAAATTCCCACTTTTTGTGGCAGCAGTGAGAAGCAGCCTGCATAAACAAACCCTTTTTCCTTTCCTACTGCCTGAAGCCAAGCGGTGGGCAAGCCGGGTCCACCCGCTCCTGGGAGCGTACTAAGGGTTTGAGGAAGTGCTCAACGCTGGGCAGCGGTGCCCGGTGCCGGGCTGGTCCCGTGTCCGCATGTCGCATGTTCCAAGTGCTGTTCTGGAACCAGAGGGCCATTAATTACTGGTGAAACAGGCTACCTCTTCTGATAGAGATCTCCCGAGGGCTTCTTTAATGGCACCGTCAGGTGTTTCTGCATTCCTTCACGGAGCAATTAACTATCCCGTGTGATTTCCCCATCAATTGAGGAATTCTTCCACAAGATATGGCACTGGTTGACGTTCCACAGCCAGGCTGGGTGGAAACTGGGAAATGGTTGCTTAGGAAGGACAGACAAGCTGCACTATGCCCTCCCGTGGCCATCTGGCAGAGCATCTCCCTTCCTGAATCCTGAGAACAGGTCATGCTGATGCCCTCGGAGGCAGTTTGGATGTACCACGGGCTGCGGAAGCCCAGGTCATGTGTGCCGGCTTCTTCACGTTCTCACCTGCTCCCCAACAGATCCTGATTTCAGCAAACAGTATCAAACCGTGTCTCCAGACGCGGGGTTCTGTGAGTAAGGATGGATTTTGGCCAGTGATGGAACCTCTACAACCCTATCGAATGAAGCTGTTTCACCCCACCACGTATCTGGACCAACTCCACGTTCACCAACTGGTTTTGTTCCTTGCGCTTCGACAAGCACGAGAGAGACGACGGTCAGTCCCGAGGGCGAGGCCTCACGCCGTCTTCCACGTTCCTCCAAACAGCAGGTGTTGTCTGAGATGCTGGGCCCCGTTTCCAATGGGCTCTGACTGCGGGTACTCCCCGTGACATCCCCCCAGGAGCTGCCCACACTTGTGTTCAGGGGCGTTTCCAACCGGGATTTCAGGACAGGCCTCAGACTGGAGTGCTCACTGTAGCTGGAACGAGAGACCCCAGCCACTCTGCGATACACCGATGGGCAGAGAAGAGACCCGAGGGCCACCCTCACCACCAATGTGTGATGTGTGCAAAATCCCGACCTAAAATTGCTGGTGGAGTGAGAGAAACTCCGGGGTGTACCTCAGTGCTGCATGAAGACAGGCTGCCGGCTGCGGCCCCATGGAAGAGCAGGCACCGTTCCCAATTTAAAACAGTCACATCGCAGCAAAAACCATACGGGCTCCGGTGGTACTGGTGGGCAGCAAAGGGTTTCCCAACAAATCCGTGACTTCCCTGGACACCACGAGATTGTTTGGACACTGAGCATTCCCTCTACCCCCCCAGCACGGACTATTAGCAGCGTTGGTGTGGGTTAGCGGCGTGTAGCCCGGTCCCTTCGCAAGGAAAACACTGGGTCCGTGCAGCAGGATGGTTTCAACATCACCCGTTTCAACAAGAAGGTGCTGAAGAGCTCCCCCAATGCCACGTTGGTTCCGAAGCTTTACAAGGGCCTCAGAGAACTGCTCGTCGCAGGTTTTCAAGAGACCAAGTGGCAGCGGTCCCGCTGCTCTACGGTCAAAACACGACACTGGGCTCTCAAAGCCCGGATCCGGATCCGTTAGGCAAGAGAGTAAGCGGCCACGTGCAGCGAAGCCTTGATTATGAAGGAAGACCTGGGCTAGATGAGGATTTTGCTGCGGAAGCACAATGGAAATCAGAAAAAAACCCAGTCAACAGGCTGCAACGGCAAGTCCCGTTAAGACGCTGCTCCCCTGACACCGTGGTGAGATTCCAGCGCTGCGACCGGCAACGCTGGAGCTCAGCAGGAAAAAAAAAAGGCACAGGTCTGGAGAGGCGGAAAAGAGAGTCAGAACAAGCAACAGCTTGGGAAGATGCAGCAGGAGCCGGCAGGAGAGGGAAGGGTGGATCTGCGCTTCCCTGTTCAGGAAGCTGAGACACCTGAGAGCCACTTGCGGAGCCTACGGAGATGGCTCTGCCGTTGCCTCCAGTCCTAGCAAACAGAAGGGAATCTTATCTTGGGATAACGGGAACAAAGGTGGCTTCAGCGAAAACGAACTCCTCACCCAAGAACGCTCAGACTTTCTGAACTGACCTGACGTTTTGCCTTCTCTGAACATGCTGACGTGCTACGAGGGTAAAGAAAGCGCAGCTCCACCTGACTCGGAGAAGAATTTTATTGCTGATTTTTGTAGAAGACGAGTGCATAAATGTTAAAATATAACCCGGCTTCGGTTTACGCGTGATTGTTATGCCGCGCAGGCTGTAAAGCACTGATTACTTTATGAGCAAATGAAGCTTTGCAGGGCTGAGACACTTGCTCCGGGGCAAGCTCAGGGAATGTAGCTTTATGGAGCTATTTAGGAACAGCTTCTCCAAGGCAAAGTGGCACCAAACAACACCAACGGTCCCTTAAGGATGGGTGACCTTGACCGACAGTCAACAGCGATTGTCCAGCCTGATGAAAGGGGAAGGAGGAGAGAAAATGAGATGTATTCCATGATTCCGAGAGATTTACTTGGCTGCCTCAGAGTGAGAAGAAGGTGGAGCTTCTGTGGCTCACCCTAATGGAGGTCTAAACTGAGACAGCGGACAAATTCCAGCTGAAGCGACCCACCTATCCAAAGGGGAAGTAGAGGGTAGGGAGGAGGGAGAAAGCAAACAGCTCCACACAATTACACCCAGATATCAGAGGTACAGTCTCCACCGGGGTAACGAATCTCATGAGCCAGGACGGGCCCGTCAGGTTCCTTCCCAAAATCCACTAGGAAGTCTTTATTCACTTTCAATCCACCTTTTTCAGTATCCACGTCAAGCTGCAGCATAACAGAGCCTTCCCTGAAAAAGGGACAAGAAAACAGATGTTGGGGAAAGGATTCGTGGTTTGTTGCTCTTCTCTTCCAGATTTGGGCCGGATTTGTCTTCGTTTAGTAGAAAATGGACAGAACCCAGATGCGGATGGGGGCTCAGCAGGTCTCAAAAGCGAGTTACGTGGCCTCAGCGAAGCCCACAGCCTCAAAATTAGCAGAGAAGAGGGAAAACGAACAGCTGGCGTTGCTTACAAGGAAGTACAAGCTGCACTATGCCCTCCTGTGGCCATCTGCAAGAGCATCTCCATTCTTAATCCCAGAAAATAAAAGCCAGGAGGCCACACAGGCTGATTGGAAGTAGCCCGGACTCCAGGAGGCCAAGTCACGTTCCCTGGCTTCTTCCCGGTCTCGTCTCCTTCCAACACGATCGTGGTTGCACCCACCAGTGCCTGCAGCCCCCAGGTTTGGTGTTTCTGTTAAGTTCGGTGTAGCGGGGAGAACACCTAGGCGGGTGGGATGAGTATAAAACATTCCTGGATCCAGTCCCCTGCCTGGGAACTTTGCTCCGGGTACCAGCTGGAATATGCAAATCACTATTTAGGAAAGAAAGCTGGAACGTGGGCTTGTACGGTCACCCTGGTTTACTTACTTGACAAGATCTGGGTAGAACTGCTTGTCCCATCCGCTGTAGAGGGAGCTGCTGACGTACAGCCTCTTCCCATCCAAGCTAAGCTGGATCATCTGGGGTCCCCCCGGCACCCTCCTCCCCTGAAATTACAGTAGAGAACAAGGTGCTCAGGACACACT